ACACAAAGACAAATGAAATGATCAAAATGTAGATTAGTAATAGTCCACTTGTGGTAAGTGTTCTATCTCACAATGGTGACACTAACGTCACTGAGGGTCTGCCGTGTTGGCTCATGCTAGTTCAGCCTTCAGTGTGAAAACAATAGTTTTCACTCGCTGGTGGGCTTCTCTGCGACTTTCCCATCCGATTGCCTGTGATCCTACTGGGCTGACAGCACTAGGGAACTTAGTGGACCGCCACAAAGTCCAGGCGCTGTTGATTTGGAACGATTCGGCAACTTGGCCATTTGATAAGGTTCAGTGGTGTAACTGGGCTGTTGCTAAGTCAGAGGGTTTCAGGTGTGGCTGCAGGCCACTGGGCCTTTGGGTAGAAGGGGAAATCCATCACCCCCATCCCAAGAAAGCCCCAAAGTTGTCAGCTGCTACCTAGGAAGGTTCAACGGCATCACATTCTGTTGGAGATTAGCTGAGGTTGTAATCATTTTTATAAAATATTCGAGCCCTATGTGTGGGCTCTATGCATCTCTCCTGACACAGTTCCACAAAAAAAGAAACTTAGGTATATTAGCCAATCAAACTTTCTTTTGGAGTCGTTGATTATAAATAAGTTCTATATTTTCCTTATGTTTTTCTGTAATACATTTTACAATTTCTAAAAACTCCTGATATAATAAGTATTCTTTTTTAATACATTTTTTTGTTTGTTTTGTTTGAAGGGCCTCACCTGACAGTGCTCTGGGATGACTCCTGGCTCTGTGTTCAGGTGGTGCCCAGGGGACCATGCATTGCTGGGGATCAAACCTGCCAAACCTGCACTCAGCCCATTGAGCAATCTCTCCAATCCTTAAAAAAAACATTTACAGGGGCCAGAGAGATAGTACAACGGGTAGGGTGTTTACCTTGCATGTGGCTGACCTGAGACAGGAGTAAGCTTCTGGATCACCAGAAGTGCCCCCCCAAAAAAAGAAACTAAAAATTTACCATTTTCAAAAGAGAGGACTTTTTTTCATTGATTTTTTTTTTCATTGAGAAGCAACAGAGACACACAAAGACACATTCCCCCATACCAGTTCATTAAACAACAGCAAAAGGTACAGAAAGCCCCTGGGTGCCAGACCCCCCTCCCGGGTCCTGGAGGCACCCAGGTCAGCTCTCCCTGGATTTTGAGTTTGGCTTGGCCTATTTATTGCATGAATAAAACTGCTCAAGCCAGCTGTTCTGGGGCTTCCAGTTTGGTTTAGAAGCAGACACTAACCAAGAATAAATTTACAAAAAATAAAAATAAGAGTTTTGAGTGATTCAAAAATAATAGCACGAAATTTTTTTAAAATAATAGCACAAATCCATTACCCGGGTATATCAATCAGACACGGTTCTCAGCATTTGGTCCAAATGGATGGATTTTCTTTGCCAAACTCTATGAGCAGATACCAGGTACCTAATCTGAATGAACAGATACTGGGGTACCTAATCTGTAGGAATAGACACTAGGGTACCTAATCTGTATTAATAGACACTAGGGTACCTAATCTGTAGGAACAGAGACTAGAGTACTTAATCTGTAGAGACAGAGACTAGGGTACCTAATCTGTATTAATAGACACGAGGGTACCTAGGGTACCTACCTAATCTGTAGGAACAGATACTAGGGTACCTAATTTGTATTAATAGACACTAGGGTATCTAATCTATAGAAACAGAGACTAGAGTACCTAATCTGTAGGAACAGATACTAGAGTACCTAACCTGTAGGAACAGATACTAGAGTACCTAATCTGTAGGAAGATACCAGAGTACCTAATCTGCAGGAAAGAGAGGCCAAGATTGTGGGGGGCAGAGCTGCCTGGCTCCAGCAGTGGGGCACTTCACCCCCATTTGACCAGGCCCAGATTGATAGCAGGACATGAATGTCAAAGGCCCTTGGGAAACAGCTGCAAATCAGGCCTAGGCCTAGAAAATTCTTTTTTTTTTTAGTTGAAGTTTTTTTTTTTATTTTTATTAGTGAAACACAATGAGGTACAGTTGTAGACTTACAAATTTTTGTGCTTGGGTTTCAGTTATACAATGATCCAGTACCCATCCCTCCACCAGTACCCATTCTCCATCAGTTACATTTTTTTTTAAATTTTTTGTTAGTGAAACACCTAGGAAATTCTGATGCAGTGGATTCAGACTCAGGCATTTCTTCTTCAACAAAGCCTCTCGGGCTGCCTCTCTTGGAGGAAAGAGGATAAAAACTGCTCTATTGACCAGAGGTCTCTGGGCCAATAGACTTCAGAAGATGATCCATTCTCTGGGCCGCGGCAGCCTTGAGGGAGGGGCTGAACTTGAAGGGTCTCTTGATTCAAGGAAACACAGAGAAGCACTTCACAAAAAATACTACCTGAAAAAAGAGTCTCTGTCTCTCTGTCTCTGTCTCTGTCTCTGTCTGTCTGTCTGCTGTCTGTCTGCCTGTCTGCCCCTCTCTCTCTCTCTCTCTCTCTCTCTCTCTCTCTCTCTCTCTCTCTCTCTCTCTCTCTCTCTCTCTCCAGGTTGAAAAGGATGTACTCTAGAGGATGATGTACTCTGTAGACCAAAGGAAGGGACATGCTCTAGGCAAGAGACAGGAAAAGTTCTTTTGGCCCTTTAGCCCTGGATGTTAGCAACCAGTACAACAAAGATGAGGGGAAAGCAATCCAGGAGGCCCAGGGAAGCACAAGTGCAAAGGACCTGGGGCAGGAAGAGTTGGGCTGCTTTGCACAACAGTAATGATACATCTAAGGCACAGGGAGAGCCTAGAGGTAGCTCAAGAGACTACAGCACTTGGTCTGCATGCAGGAAGTTCAGGTTCAATGCCAGCGCCACATTGGGTCACCCAGGCAAGAGTAACCCCCTAGCAACAAGCAAGGAATAGCCCTAAATAGCACCTGCAGCACCAACCCCAAATAAAGGCCGGCACTGGGGCCTGGGGGCCGTGACAAGTCCCACCCAGCTCTTTCTGCCTCAGGTTTCTCTCCCACACCTTCCACACATCACAATTTCGGTTTACGATCTTCCAAGATCTGCTCAGTACCAAGAAATCCTACCGTGAGGTGGATAGGCCCTGGACCATTTTTCTAGCTACTGAGCATGTTTCTTGAGAGCAGATACTGTACCTTGGGATGCCATCCTTCCATCGGAAGGCAGCCCGCGGCCTGGCACCTTGCAAGGCCTAGATGTAAATAGCGCTGGAGGAATGAGCCCTGAAAGGGGGCAGGAGGGAGACACTAGTACCAGCCCCGTTTCCTGAGAGCCTGCTTTGGGCCACCACGAAGCCTGGTTGACTGGGAAGATTCATCAGTGAAGCAAAGAGATTTCCAAAAACACGACGCTCTCTGGGACGCTTCTAATTTGAGGGAAGACCAACTTCTTTCTGTGTGTGTGTGTGTGTGTGTGTGTGTGTGTGTGTGTGTTGGGGGAGTGGGGGGGGGGGGGGTACCGTTTCAGCTAGAGGGAAAGAAAGACATGTGCTCAAGAGAGAACAGGAGTTTCTCCAGAGCAGACCCCAAGTCCCCATCCCAAGCAAGGGAACGTGTGGACCATCTCCCCAGGATGGGGAAGCCACGCTCAAAAAAAAAGAAAGCTTGCGTCTTAGTGAGAGGAAGGTCCTGAGGGAAAGAAACTCCTCCTCTCCTCAGGGGGATCTATGTGAAGGGCGGCCTTTTCCTCAGCCAAGTTTCTTTCCAGAGTTTTCCCAAACAACTGCCCCCCACCATCTCCGTTGCTAGGGTGGTTGCCAAGAGGGAGAACTTGGGGTAATGGGTGGTCTTTTGATATTCTTAGTGTGGGCTTTGTCTCTGCCTCCGGGAGCTGCCCACCCTAGGGGGTCCAGCCCCCCTGCAGGGTCTTTTGCATCTCAATGGGATCCTTCCTGGGCTCCCCACCCGCTCTGAGGCCTTCATACCTTTGGGGTGATTAAGGTTACAGAGTTTTTCTCCCAATATGTATTCTGGGCCCCCCAATCTATCTGCCTGCAGTAGATGATGGCTGGAAGGATGGATGGTGGGTGGGTGGGTAGGTGGGTGGGTAGGTGGGATGGATGGATGGATGGATGGATGGATGGATGGATGGAGCGGAAGACGGACAGACAGATATGGGTAGATGAACGCGCAGAGATATGCCAAAGTTAGAGCAGTAAGTTCTGAGAAGTAAAGGCCAGCTGACCGACCAGGGAGGGATCCGGCGCGGTGGGACGAGGAAGCCGCGGTGCTAGATCAGATAAGCCGGGACTGGCCTGGAGGGTGTCAGGTGGCCTGGAGGGAAGCGCCAACACTAACGCCTCGGGACAGCTGGGATGAAGAGGAGGAAAAAGAGGAGAGGAGCGAGGAAGAGGAGAGGAGCGAGGAAGAGGAGAGGAGAGAGGAAGAGAGCGGAGTAGGAAAGGCCGGGACGGTGAAGAGCGCCCGGCGCCCGGCTTCCTCTCGCCCGGGGAACTTGCCCTGCAGCGCCCTCCGGGCCGCCAGAAACGGGTCAGAAACCGAGAGGGGCTTCGGGGGAGAAGAGAGTGGGTCGAGATCGTGGGACCAGGCGGCCACCGTGATGCGACGATCCAGCCGGCCTGCAGCAGCGGGGCCCAGCGAGCGCCCCCCGCCCCGCCACCGCCTCCCTCCCCTGCTGGCTGCGCGGTGGCCCCCCGGGGCTCCAGCGAGGCCCCGGGGACCCGATGCCCCAGGGAGGCGGCGGCGGCAGGTGCAGGGGTGCAGGGGTGCCGGGGCCCGGCGAGGAGCGCGCGCCCCGGGGACCCGACGCCCCAGGGCGGCGGCGGCAGGTGCAGGGGTGCGGGCGGGGTGCGCGCGCGCGCGCGGCTCGGCCCAGGCCGCCGCGATCCCGGGGCGGGGGGGCTGCGTGGGCGCCCCGGGGTGCCCCGGGGTGCGGGCGCGGGGCGCGGGCGCGGGCCCCGGGGAGCCGGGTCGCGGCGTGCGGGCCCGGGCAGCGCCCTCTAGGCAGCGGAAGTGGCGCGGGCCCGACATCCGTCGTCCCCGGCGCGCGGAGTCGGGGGAAGGCCGGCCGGGGTGGGGGGGCGGTGCGCAGGATCCCGGGGCCGGCGCGGGGACCATGTAGCCCCCCGCCCCGCGCCCCCCGCGGACATGAACGCCGCCGGCGACGCCGAGAGCTTCCCGGGCTCGGTGCAGAGTAAGTGCGCGCGGCGCGGGGTGCGGGGTGCGGGGTGCAGGGTGCGCGCTCCGGGGCCCGGGCCCGAGCACGTCTGCGACGCAGCCCGCAGGCCCGGGACCGGCGATCGGGGTGACGCCAGCGACGCGGCGGCCGGGGCGGGGGACCCGGCGGCCGGGGAGGGGGCTCGCTCGGGGGGCGCCCGGGCACCCGGGCCCGGTGCAGGGGAGCGGCGGGAGGCGCTGACGGCGCAGGCGATCGCCCGCCTATACCCCCCCCAACGCGCGCACACACACACACACACACACACACACACACACACACACCACCTCCACCGGCGGAGTTTGGGGGAGCGGGGCCTTGGGGGGGTCACCCGGGCAACGGCACCCGGAAAACTTCGGCTCGGGGGGTCTGGGGGTCCCGCGGGAGCGGTTTCCAGCCGCACGGGGCCCGCCCGCCTAGGCTTGGGGGCTCCCCGGAATGCGGGGGGCTTGGGTAAGGGGAGGAGCCACGGGCTTTCCCAAGCGCCCCCCTCCCCCACCGCTCCCGGCGTGGTCCCGGGGGGCCCCCGCCCGCGCGCACCCCGGCCGGAGCGAGGGCGCCCGAGGAGTTTGAAAGGAAAAGGCGCTCGCGGCCCCACCCCGCAGGGGCGGCATCTGCAGCCGCGCCCCCCACCCCCGTTACGTCCCGAGCGGTCCTGGAGGCGTCACCCCCCCCCCCCCCCGCCACTCTGCCCCGGGCAGAGCACGGATTAACCCCCCCACTGAGCCCTGGGACCCCAGCCCCGCCGTCTGGAGCTTGGGGGTGGGGTCGTCTCGGCTGTGGGCGTGGCTAACCACTGCACACACGCACACCCCCCTTTCCTGATGCTGGGGGGCTTTGGAGAACTTTGCAAAGATAAAGGGATTCTTTGGGGGCTTCGCACAGGGTCCCTGGACCCGCTCTCCACCCCCCCACCCCCCGTCCCCACCCAGTGGGTTTCATTGGGTCACAGTTTCTTCTCACTGCGTGTCCGTTTTTCATTTCAAACTTGGGCGGGGGTGGCGGGGTGATTTTTTTTTTCTTTTTTCTTTTTTTTTTACTTTTTGGGGTCACACCCGGGGATGCACAGGGGTTACTCCTGGCGGTGCTCGGGGGACCATAGGGGATGCTGGGAATCGAACCCGGGTCGGTCGCGTGCAAAGCAAACGCCCTACCCGCTGTGCTATTGCTCCAGCCCCGTGGCGGGGTGATTTAAATAGGGTCTCTCGAGGCTCAGCCCAGTACCACAATTGGGACCCCGCTCTGTGCTGGCGGTTGCTTTTTATTTGGGGGGCGGGGAGCGTTTGGGGCCACACCTGGTGGTGCCAAGGGGCTATTTCTGACTCTGCTGATGCAGGGACCAGGTGTGGTGCCCGGGATTCAAACAGGGGTGGATTGGGGGACCCTATGGCATGTTGGGGGTCTAACTGGAGTGGGCGGTGTGAAAGGCGAACGTGCTGTGGCTCACTGGGGGACCCCCCCCCCACACCCTGTGCTGGACTTTTAATCCCAAGCCCCGCTCACTGCTGCGGGGTGGTGAGGAGACTAAGAGAACCTGCACCCATGACATTCCTTGTTATTAAAGTCCTTGGGACCCGGAGAGGTTTTTTTTTTTAAGTGTGTGGATTTTTTTTTCTTTTTGGGTCACACCTGGTGATGCACAGGGGTTCCTCCTGGCTCTGCACTCAGGAGTTACTCCTGGCGGTGCTCAGGGGACCATATGGGATGCTGGGAATCGAACCCGGGTCGGCTGCGTGCAAGGCAAACACCCTACCCGCTGTGCTATCTCTCCAGCCCCTAATTTGATTTTTTTTTTTATTGAAGAACTGTGATTTACAAAGTTATTGATAGTTGAGTTTTAGGCATATAAGATTTCGACACCAATGCCACCACCGTGTCAACCTCCCTCCATCAGATTCCCCCACCCCCCACCCTATCCCCACCTGCCCATCTGACAGGCACATTACAAAGTTTCAATGATGGCAGCACAGATCGGATGTGTTTCAGTTTTATTGAGTCTGTGTTTTCGATACATGGCTGTACCACTCACTCATATCACTAGTAGAACTTGCCCATTTCACCGGTCTGACTTGCTGGCTGTACCTGGAGACATGTGCCACAGGACTGGGAACTATAGGACCATGAACCTAAAATAAAAATTAAGATAGTCGCACTAGAGACATATGCGTTATATTTACTTTTTTTTTAAGAAATTCTAATCTGAATGCAAATGTGATATCATAGTCTCTTGCAGCCCTGTTGTAAAGGCCCTCCCGTTGATCATCGATTTGCTCGAGCGGGCCCAGTAACGTCTCCATTGGAGACTTCGTTGTTACTGTGTCTGGCATCTCGAATACGTCATGGGGAGCTTGCCAGGCTCTGCGGTGCGGGCGAGATACTCTTGGTAGCTTGCCGGACTCTCCGAGATGGGCGGAGGAATCGAACTCGGGTTGTCCATGTTGGCTGCGTGCAAGGCAAATGCCCTACCGCTGTGCTGTCGCTCCAGCCGTCAGGATGGCCGAGTGGTCTAAGGCGCTGCGTTCAGCCCTGTTGTAACTATGAGGAAAATACTAGGTCCCGTATTTTAATAAGAGGATTTATTTAAATATTATTATTTAAATAAGAGGATTTGGCCTCTTTATGTGGCTTGGAATCAACCAGCTCTAGATTTCTGCTTGTTCAGTTTTTGCTGTTCATTTTAGTTTGGGGGCCACACCTAGTGTTTGGGGCCACACTTAGGGATTACTCCTGACTGTACTCAGGGATCACTCCTGGTAGGACTCGAGGGGCCGTCTGGGGTGCCAGGGATCTAACCCACGTCCACCATGAGCAAGGCAAGTGCCTTCCCCGCTGTACTATCTCTTCAGCCCCCAGTGCAGCTGCATTCAAAACCAGAAAAAGAGGCGGGGGGGATGGGGGGGATGGGGGGTGGGAGGAATACTGGGATCCGTGGCGGTGGGAAATGGGCACTGGTGGAGGGATGGGTATTTGATCATTGCATAATTGAAACCCAAGCACAAAAATTTGTAAGTCTACAACTGGACCTCATGGTGTCTCACTAATAAAAATGAAAGAAAGAAAGAAAGGAAGAAAGAAAGAAAAAAGAAAGAAAGAAAGAAAGAAAGGGACCAGGCCAGTCACCGCTGTTTTCTTTTCAGCACAAAAGCCAGACTTTTTCCATGAGCAACTCCAGCTTCATTCTGGAAACGTTTCAAGATATATGGGGGTCCCAGCTCATTCCAACCCTTGGTTCTTAGATTTGGCCAGGCCTCGTGGAAATCTGTCCTGGGGAAGGAAGCGGCTTGTCTTAGTAACTGGGAAGCACAGCTCTCTTTAGGTTGGGGGGAGAGATCCAGGCAGCCCGCCAGCCGCCTCCTATCAAAGGACTTCAGGATCCTGAGAGGTAGTCCGGTGGGTAGGGCAATTGCCTTGCCCACCCCGGGTTCAATCCCTGGCACTAGGCATACTGAGCACAGAGCCAGGAGTAGTCTCTGAGCACTGCTGGGTGTGGTTAAAAAAATAGGTCTGTAGTGCCACAGAATTGGGTCCAGGTCACAGAACTGGGTCCAGTGACATTGCTGCTAGGACAACCGGAAGTGGGGTCTTCCTGAAGGAAGACAGGAGTGGACAGGAGCCCCTGAGTACCCCCCTCCGCCACCCCATCTGCCACCCCACCCTCCTTCCCTCCCTCCCTTGCGCTGTCCTTTCCCAGTGTTGAGAATTAACCGGTGACTTTCCCTTGGCCCGTGGAGTTCCAGGGGGCACGACGGTGCTGGTGGAGCTGACCCCCGACATCCACATCTGCGGCATCTGCAAGCAGCAGTTTAACAACCTGGACGCCTTCGTGTCGCACAAGCAGAGCGGCTGTCAGCTGGGCAGTGCCACGGGCGCGGCCGCCAGCACCGTGCACTTCGTGTCGGAGGAAACGGTGCCAGCCGCGCAGGCCCAGACCCCCAGCAGGACCATCACCTCGGAGACGCAGACCATCACAGGTGCGGTGGGGCGGAGTGGGGGCTGGGCTGGGCTGGGCTGGGCTGGGTCTGTCCTTTTACACACACACACATACACACACACACACTTAAAAATAGCGAGTCTTGGGGCTGGAGCGATAGCACAGCGGGTAGGGCCTTTGCCTTGCACACGGCGGACCCAAGTTCGATTCCCAGCATCATCCCATATGGTCCCCTGAGTACCGACAGGAGTAATTCCTGAGTGCTGAGTCAGCAGTAAGCCTTGTGCATTGCCAGGTGTGACCCAAAAAGCAAATAAATAAATAAATAAAAATTAAAATAGCGAGTCTGGCCTGGAGCGCTAGTACAGTAGGCAGGGCGTTCGACTTGCACGCGGCCGACCAGGGTTCAATTCCCAGCATCCCATTGGGTCCCCCAAGCACCGCCAGGAGTAATTCCTGAGTGCAGAGCCTGGAGTAACTTCTGAGCATCACGGAAGTGGGGCTCTTCCTGAAGAAAGGAAGAATGGAGTGGAGTACTCAGGTGTGACCCCCCCCCCCAAAAAATAGTGAGTCCCTCGGTCCAGCTTCTACCATCGCTAATTCATCATTTTTTAACAAGCTCCCTTGGGACAGCTGCCAGCCAGACTTGGGATCTGCCGGGTTCTAACCAGAAGTCTTAGCAGACTTCATTGTCATCATGCGCTAAACAAAACAGGCAAAAAAAAAAAAAAAAAACAGGATTCTAGAACAAAATTCTAGACACATCGGTCTGTATAGATTTTGCTTCCTGCAAGTTTTTTTTTCTTGCTATATATGTGTACGTGTAATTTTTTTCCTTAAGAGAGATGTAGATAGAGTATTGGGAAAGACAGTGGATATCCCCGAATTGGCATTATTTAGGTAAAGGAACAAAGAACGGGGCCGGAGCGATAGCACAGAGGGTAGGGCGTTTGCCTTGCACACGGTCGAACTGGGTTTGATCCCCGGCATCCCATATGGTTCCCCGAGCACTGCTAGGATTTATTCCTGAGTGCAGAGCCAGGAGTAACCCCTGACATCACTGGGTGTGACCCAAAAAACAAAAACAAAAGCACATGGGGCTTTGTTTTAAATCTAAATAGACAGTCCCTCCCCTCCACTACCTGGGCGGGTCTGCTCACTCTGCCAACAGGACATTTCAATAAAACCATCCAATAAAACCATCAAAAATTCCAGGAGGTCAGGGCTGGAGAGAGAGTACAGCAGGGAGGGCGCTTGCCTTGCCCGTGGCCAGCCTAGGTTCGATTCCCAGCATCGCAGATGGTCCCCTGAGGAATAATCCCTGAGTACAGAGCCAAGAGTAACCCTAAGTGTGTACAGGGGTTCACACAGGAAGGAAAGCACTTGCTTTGAAGGTAACCCCAGTTGAATCCTAGTGCCACATCGGGTTCCCTGAGCACTTCTGGGGTCACCCCGAGCACAGAGCCAGGAGTAGCCCCTGAGCACTGCTGACTGAGCCCAAACCCATAATAACTGAAGGAAATATGATATATCTATAAGTACATACCTGCACATGCATGCTCACCTGTGTGCACATAATTACACTATATGTTGTCAGTCTAATTTGACTTAGGGACGCAGATAGCTGATTTTTTTTAGTAGATTTTTTTAATGATACTTTTAATTTTCATTTTATTTATTTATTTATTTTGCTTTTTGGGTCACACCCGGCGATGCTCAGGGGTTACTCCTGGCTCTGCACTCAGGAATCACTCCTGGCGGTGCTCAGGGGACCACATGGGATGCTGGGAATCGAACCCAGTTTGGCTGCGTTCAAGGCAACTGCCCTACCCACTGTGCTATCGCTCCAGCCCCCAGGCAGTTGATTTTAAAAATATGAAGTAACTCATTTATCAGGTCCCTCAGCTCCTCCAGAGACCCCGGGGGAAATGGAGAGGTCCTTAAATGAAGGCATTCAAATAACTTCCTAATTTGAAAACTCTCTGTTACTCCTGCAATGACCAGGGGAGACTGTGACATGCCCTTCCCCCCCAAAAAAAAAGGTGGGGGGGCATTTACCTTGCAGCTTACCCGGGTTCGATCCCCTGCATCCCATAGTGTCCCCTGAGCACCGCCAGGAGTGATTCCTGAGTGCAGAGCCAGGAGGAACCCCTGTGCATCGCTGGGTGTGACCCAAAAAGAATAAATAAATAAATACATAAATAAATAGATATTTTCAAAAAGGGGTGAAGAAAGAATCAGGTTTGTGGATGCAAGAGGAAGTTACAGGTTTTCCCCCAAGTAAAAACAATAATTATTTTAAAAGTATGAAGATCTGAGTCCAGTCTGGTCCCTGTGGGAAAAAAATATTTTAAATATAAAAATATTTTAAAGCATAAAAACAAATGAGAGGTCCGAGTCCCAGCATCCTCACTGTGGCACTGCCCCTCCGCGGTCAGGGGCTCTGCCTGCCAGCAGGTTCGGGAGTCTCGTGGCAGGGCACAGCCTCACCTGCTAGACTCTGAATTCCATCCCGAGCACGTGTCCACTTGCTAGCTGCATTGACTGTCACACCTGTTGTTCATCGATTGCCCCAAGCAGGCACCAGTAACGTCTCCTTCGTCCTAGCCCTGAAATTCTAAAAAGTGCCACATTCAAGGCTCTTTCAGGGTTAGGAGAATGAGACCCATCATTGTTACTGGTATTTGGCATATTGGGTACACCACGGGGAGTTTGCCAGACTCTGCCAGGTGGGAAGGTTACTTTCGGTAGCTTGCCAGATTGTCCAAAAGTAAGAATGAGAGCTTCCGGGAGCCGGGTTTTATAGTCTCTAGGTCTTGGCTGTTGATGGGATTACACAGCACCAGGGGATCAGGTGGTGGGTGTGACCCCTGCCTACTGGAAGATGGAGGATCTGGGTGGAGGATGCTCAGCCCCGATCTGAGCAGGCTTGGAGATCTCAGCCCCGGGACTCGCATGCCTTTATTCCTCTCCCGGTACCTTCATGCATGTGTAGAGTGGTCTCGGCACTCTCTCGGTTGTGGCTGGTTCTGGAGGTCTTCGGCTGCCAGAGCTCTGCTGGTGCACCTATTTTTAAAAAAGAGAGCCAGAACTATAGTACAGCTTGACTTGCATGCCGCTGACCCCAGCATCCCATAGGGTCCCCCAAGCACTGCACAGGAGTGATTCCTGACAGCAGAGCCAGGAGTAATCCCTGAGCATCACTGGGTGTGGCTGGAGCAATAGTAGAGGGTGGGGTGTTTGCCTTGCACGTGACTGACCCGGGTTTGATCCCCAGCATCTTATTGGGTCCCCTGAGCTCACGAACCCAGAGTAAGCCCTCCAGCTGTGACCCCCCCCCCCAAACTAACAAACAGAAAGAATGATTGCCCTGCCATCAACCTGTTAGGATGGCCCACTGCAGGTGAACAAAAGGACGACCTGGAAAACATGTTAAGAATATAGCTGTAGGGACTGGAATGATAGCACAGAGGGTAGGGCGTTTGCCTTGCATGTGGCTGACCTGGGTTCGAGTCCCAGCATCCCATATGGTCCCCTGAGCACCGCCAAGAGTAATCCTGAGTGCATGAGCCAGGAGTGACCCCTGTGCATTGCTGGGTGTGACCCAAAAAACAACCAAACAAAAATAAAGAATATAGCTGTAGGAGGGCCGGAGTGATAGGACAGCGGGGAGGGCGTTTGCCTTGCACGCAGCTGACCCTGGTTCGATACCCGGCATCCCATAGGGTCCCCCGAGCACTGCCAGGAGAAGGGGAAGCAGGAAGCCACAAGCTACGTGTGTGGCTCCTTCTCGGTGCTCACAATGCTGAAGGAAGCATCGTACCCCAGGGCTTTGGGGCTCCTTTCTGTGTGTGAATTCCCAGAGGGTGCTGGTTGGTTTCCTTCGACTCAGAACTCTGATTCACTTTAACTGGCTTCTCTGAGGCAGTAAGTTTTTATTTTTAGTTTGTTTGTTTGTTTCTTTGTTTGCTTTTGGCTTTTGGGTCATACCTGGCAATGCTCAGGGGTTACTCTTAGCTCTGCACTCAGGAATCACTCCTGGCTGTGCTCGGGGGACCCTGTGGGATGCCGGAGATTGAACCTGGTTCAGCTGCGTCCTGGGCAAACATCCTCCCCGCTGTACTAGGGCTCCGGCCTCGTGATTTTTGTCTTAATTGAATCACCATGAGATAGAGCATTACAAAGCAGCTCCAACTTGGGTTTCAGTCGTACAATGTTCCAACAACCATCCCTCCACCAGTGTACATTTCCCAGCACCAGTGTCCCCAGGTCCCCTCCCACCAACCCCCAAATTCCCCCGCACCAGCCTGCCTTTATGTAGGTACCTCCCCAGCCCCCCTCGCCTGTTGGGCATTATGGTTTGCGGTACAGATACTGAAAGGCTATCACGTAGCTCCCTTGCCGATTTTCAACAGTTCTTGTCCAGAGTGATCATTTCCACCCATTATCATCATCCTGGGGCTGGAGCAATAGCACAGCGGGTAGGGCGTTTGCCTTGCAGCCGGCCGACCCGGGTTCGATTCCTCCATCCCTCTCGGAGAGCCCAGCAAGCTACAGAGAGTATCTCGCCCACACAGCAGACCCTGGCAAGCTACCCATGATGTATTCGATATGCCAAACACAGTAACAAGTTTCACAGTGGAGACGTTACTGGATCCACTCGAGCAAATGGATGAACAACGGGAGGACAGTGCTACCGTGCTGTTATCATCCCGACCCTTTCTCTATCCTAACTGTCCTCTGCCCCATACACACTTGCGGTAACTTCCGATCACTGACCAGTCCTCCTGGCTCCAGGGCTGTAATTTAAGCCGAGCGGGAGATGGATAATTCGAAAGAGATGGGAAATAACGGAATTGAGGGCCGGTTGCCACTGGAGCTAAGATCTACCCAGAAACTACACATACCTGAGGGAGCTCTAGCTTCTCCCCGCTCGAGGTGTGGCTCCAGGGATCAGCCCCAGGCATGGGCACGCTGCCCTCAGGCCCTGCGGGGTTGGCAATTCCCTGGGCCGCCTCAGCAGTGCTGGGAAGGCTCCAGGACCATACTGGGTGACGCCGGGGGGACTTTGTGGTGTTCCAGATTGAACTGGGGAACCCGAGAGATAGGACAGCAGGGAGGGCGCTTGCCTTGCAGGCAGCCAAATTGGGTTCGATCCTCAGCATCCCATATGGTGCCCCAAGCATCACCAGGAGTGATTCCTGAGTGCAGAGCCAGGAGTAATCCCTGAGTGTATCCAAGTGTAGCCCCCCCCAAAACAAACAAAAACCAAACTGAACTGCGTTGGCCGCATTCAAGGCTTGACCTCTCGCTCTGATTGCATCAACTTTATGTTGTAGCACTGCAGTACAGTCCTCCCATTGTTCATCAACTTGCTCGCGCGGGCACCAGTAACGTCTCCATGGTGAGACTTGTGACTGTGTTTAGCATATCGAATACGCCACAGGGAGCTTGCCAGGCTCTGCCGTGCGGGCAGATACTCTCAGTAGCTTGCCAGGCTCTCTGAGAGGGACAGAAGAATCGAACCTGGGTCAGCTGCGTGCAAGGCAAACGCCCTACCCGCTGTGCTATTGCTCCAGCCCCAACTTAATGTTAACAGGACAAATGTTTGTAATTGGAAGAACGGCTGCAGTTCTTGCAAAGTCCTAACCCAGAAGAGAGTCTCAGTCGCACACTCAGGAACGGGCTGACACTGGCGGGATGTGAGCTTTGTCCTGGGTGGCACCGTAGACCAGCCTGCAGGGGCCAGAGATGGCAGAGCAGGGGTGAAGGCCCTTGCACTGCATGCTACAGAGTCCAGCTGGCTCCCGAGCACTGCCAAGTGAGAGCCCTTGGCACCACTGGGCCTGGCCCCAAGCCCTCCCTTCCTCCAAAATTAAAATAAGCTGTGGCCAGATACAATCAGTATCTTCATAATCTTTACCACAAAGGTCTCACTATTGAAAATAGAGGAATTCTGGAGAAAACCAAAAAAAAGTACTCTCTGAAAACTCAAATCATCTTCAACATAGCACTCTGAACAAAACATGTTCTTGAACTCTTACTGAAGTTTTGAGGAAAAAAGAAAAAAATAGGCCATTGTCGTTTTGGTTACCATTGACGTTATCCAAGATCAAATAGGCAGATTCACTATTTCAGATTCGCTCCATTGAGTTTATTAAAGTTTGGGGGGCCAAGAGGGAGTATAGCAGTTAGGGTTCATGACTAATACGTGCCTGACACGGGTCCGATTCCCAGAACCACATGGTTCCCTGATTGAGCTGGGTGCAGCCCTAGGGGTAGGGGTGGGAGTGGGGGGTCCTTTCACTGAACCAAAGGCCTGATTGCCTGAGACTGGCCAAGTGGGGCCCATGGACCTCATGAGCACACTTAGGAAATGCCACCCACCATCACCACCACAAAAACTTTTGATTAGAATTTCATGATGACTGTGTGTGTTATGTGTTTGGGGGTCTCACCTGCAGTACTCAGGACTCTGTGTTCAGGGGTGATTTCTGGCCTGGGGGTAAAAAGGAATATGGAAATCCACTTGATATAAATGATAAGGACATTTCTTACTTGTTTGATGAGTCTAAATTTGGATGGTTTCAGAGCTCTAGTTTAGCGTCTGATTTTTGGGTTTTTTTCTTTTCTTTTATTTTTTTTTTTAATTTTTTTGCTTTTTGGGTCACACCCAGCGATTCACAGGGGTTACTCCTGGCTCTGCACTCGGGAGTTACTCCTGGCGGTGCTCGGGGGACCATATGGGATGCTGGGAATCGAACCCGGGTCGGCCGCGTGTAAGGCAAACGCCCTACCTGCTGTGCTATCTCTCCAGACCCCTAGCGTCTGATTTTTGCCTTATGATTATAAAAAAGCTCCCAGGGCTCCAGGCCTCACATCCTCATCCCAGTATGTCCAGGAACCCCAGTACCATAAAACCTTGGCTGCTTCCTGCCCTCTAAAGCCCTGTCCCCAGTATAGAATAACTGCATTTATATGTGGGATCACGATCACAATCACGACCATCCTGTTGTTCGTCGATTGCCTCGAGCAGGCCCCAGTGACATCTCCTTCATCATAGCCCTGAGATTTTTTAAAAAGTGCCATATTCAAGGCTCTTTCAGGGTTAGGAGAATATGTGGGATGTTAAAAAAAAAAGTATGAAACTAAAATCCAAGGCCCGGGGAAACGGGCCAGGAGGACTGGTCAATGGCTGGTCACTGGTGTGAGGGATGGAGGGTGGTTGAGATAGAGGAGGGTCCATTATGACAATATTAGTTGGCAATGATCACTTTGGACAGGAAGTGAGTGTTGAAAGCAGGTCAAGGGATCTACTTGATAACCTTTCAGCGCCTGTATCACAAGGCATAATGCCTAAAATGAGAGAGAGAAAGAGAAAGAGAGAAAGGGAGGGGGAAGAGAGGCGCCTGCCATAAAGGCAGGCTGGGGTGGAGTAGCTTGAAGGGGTGGGAGGGAATCTGGGGACACTGGTGCTGGGAGATTACACTGAAGGGGTGAGTGTTATCACAGTGTATGACTGAAACGCAATCATGAACAACTTTTTAATGCTCTATCTCATTGTGAGTCAATAGAAAAAGAGAGAAAGAAAAAAAGAAAGAGAGAGAAGGGAGGAAGAAGGGAGGGAAGAAAGAAAGAAAGAAAGAAAGAAAGAAAGAAAGAAAGAAAGAAAGGGAGAAGGGAGGGAAGAAAGGAAAAAGGAAGGAAGGAAGGAAGGAAGGAAGGAAGGAAGGAAGGAAGGAAGGAAGAGAAAGAAGGAAGGAAGAGAAGGAAGGAAGGAGAAGGGAAGAAAGAGAAGGGAGGGAGGGAAGAAAGAAAGAGAGAAGGGAGGGAGGAAGGAAGAGAAAGAAGGGAGGGAGGGAGGAGGGAAGGAAATCAGTCCTATCCCCAACCCCCTCCTCATCCCCCCCACATTCTCTCTGTTAGAAGGGGGGGGTCGTGTGGCCATTCCTGAGCTCAGTGGGAGCTGGAACATTCTGCCGTGTCTTTCCTCAAAAAGCAAGGGCGGCCTGTGGGAGGTGGGTTGAGTTTTTCATGAAATGACGGTGAGGAAACCTCCCTCGCAGTCTCAGCCCCCGAGTTCGTGTTCGAGCATGGCTATCAGACCTACCTGCCGGCCGAGACCAGCGAGAGCCCCGCGGCCACCGTGATCTCGCCGCCCGCCAAGTCCCGGGCCAAGAAGCCCGCGGCCCCGCCCGCCCAGAAGAAGCTCAACTGCTGCTATCCAGGTAAAGTCCACCGCTGTCCGTCTGTCCTTCTGTCCTGCCAGGGAGGGGCTGATACTTGCAGGTTTGGGGACTTTGACCCAAGTCTTTTTTGGGGGGGTCACACCCAGCGATGCTCAGGGGTTCCTCCTGGCTCTGCACTCAGGAATTACTCCTGACAGTGCTCGGGGGACCCTATGGGATGCTGGGGATCGAACCCGGGTCAGCCACGTGCAAGGCAAGCCCCCTTCCCACTGTACTATTGCTCCAGTCCCCTCCCCAAGTACTTTTTTTTAAATTTTTTATTAGTGAATCACCATGGGGTACAGTGACAAATTTACTTTCGTGTTTGCATTACGGTCATACAATGATCACTTACCCATCCCTCCCACCACCCCCACCCCATTCCCCACCACCCCTCCCCACCTCATCGGCAGGGCATTCCCTTTAATTCTCTCTCCTTTTGGCTGTTGCGGTTTGCAATAGAGGTATTGAGCGACCATCGTGTTCGGTCTATAGTCGACTTCCGGCACGCATCTTTCAACCCAAGTGGGTCCTCCCAACATCCTTTACCTGCTGTTCCCTTCTCTGTCTGAGCTGCGTTTTCCCCCAGCATGTGAGGCCAGTCTCCAAGCTATGGAGCAGACCTCCTGGTCCTTATCTCTACTACTCTCCCCAGGTACTTCTGACCCTGGCCAAAAGCTGGCTTCCAACCCGGGGCCCATCCCCGGCACTCCATAGGATCCCCCAACAGTGCCAGGAGGTTTCCCCAAGTGCAGAGCCAGGAGGAAGCCCTGAGCAGTGCTGGGTGTGGCCCCCCAACAAGATTTTTTAAATTTTTTTTCAAAACAACCTGTCGTATGGGGCCAGAGAGATAGTACAGCGGTAGAACACTTGCCTTGCTTGTGGCCGACCCGGGTTCGATCTTTAGCACCCCATATGGTCCCCCAAGCATGGCCAGGAGTAATTCCTAAGCACAGAGGCAAGAATGAGCCCTGAGCACTGCCGGGTGTAGCCCCAAAACCAAAGAAAAGTAAATTCAATTAAAACTGCCTGAATTGGGGCTGGAGCAATAGCACATCGGGGAGGGCGTTTGCCTTGCACGTGGCCAACCCAGGTTCGATTCCCAGCGTCCCATATGGTCCCCTGAGCACCGCCAGGGTTAATTCCCGAGTGCAGAGCCAGGAGTAACCCCTGTGTATCGCCAGGTGTGACCCCCCCAAAAAAACACTGCCTGAATTAGAGCCCCTCTAAGGGCTAGAGGGGAAGCCCTGGGTTCAAACATTGGCAACACATGTTCCCACTGCCAGGCGTGGCCCCCAAACAGCCACCACCGCAAAAATCGAAGTGTCACACATTTGCACCATCAAGTCCGAGACTATAAGGCACAAGTTCAAGTGGTTGCGAATTTTCCTCCTTGTACTCAAGTTTAGAAGCATCTGGAAAGGTTTCCTCTCCTTCCTTTTTAAAAACACTCTTTACTTTCTGGCTGGGGTGTGGCCCTGTGGTTGAATGCTTGCCTTACGTGTGTGTTCAGTTGCTAGCAACACCAAAACTAATAATGATTTTTTTTGTTGCGTTGGCTTTGGGGACACACGTGGCAATGCTCAGGGGTCACTCCTGGCTCTGCACTCAGGAATGACTCCTGGCAGTGTGCCCAGGGGACCATGTGGGGTGCCAGGGATTAAACCCAGGTCTGCCACATGCAAGGCAAATGCCCTACCCACTATACTATCCCTCTAGCCTCTTTTTTTTGGGGGGGGGGTTGGGGGCTTTTGGGGTCACACCCGGTGATGCTCACATCCTGGCTCATGCACTCAGGAATTACTCCTGATGGTGCTTGGGGGACCCTATGGGATGCTGGGGATTGAACCTGGGTCGACCACGTGCAAGGCAAACACCCTACCCACTGTGCTATTGCTCCAGCCTCATTTTAAATATATATTATTATATTAAAATAATATATATTATATATATTAAATAATAATATATATTATTTTATTTGAAACTAATTGTGATGTTATTGAAAAGTTACAGCCAGCATACGTGAAACCTCTGGCTTTCATGTAGCTTCCCCGAAGGCTGTATATTGCCACACTTACTATTCTCTCTGTAGATATGTGACATTTGGGGGGAGGACCACACCTGGCGGTGCTTAGAGCTTCCTCCTGGCTCTGCACTGAAGGGCTCAGGGGACCATTCGGGGTGCCGGGGTTTGAACCCAGGTCGGCTGTGTGCAAGGCAAGAGCCCTACCTACTTCACCATCTCTCTGGCCGGCCCCCATATACATAGACCATTTTTTTCCAGGCTAGATTTTCCAGCTACTTGCTTGACCCTTGACCCCATCTCCATATTTTCTGGAAACAAGGAATTCCGTTTAGAGAAGCACGGCACAGTAGCCAAAGTCAGGCCGTCAGCATCCGCGCTCTCTGACACCAGGTCCCCGCCCTTAGAACGGTCTGGCTGAATGGCCTGCAGAGGCCGGGGCTGGCTGAAGAGCTTTTTTCCTGTCCGAGGAGCAGAGTCCCTTGACCACATTCCGCACTTCCTTTTCAGGTGCCCTCCATTCCCTCTCATCCTCAGTTTTCCTCCTTTCTGAGCTCCATGTCGTAGAAAAGCAGCAACGGTTCTGTAGGAAACGGGCCCCTGTGTGCGTTGGCTGGCCTCTTTCCCAGGGCTCCACTTAACCGTGGATGGGTTGGACGAGAAACAGGCGTCATGTTTGTCCATCTTGGTGCTGATGCCAGCCAGCCTGAGCTACGGGGGAAACGATTCCCCGGGGAACGCACTTCCCCAGAGCACAGACCCTGTTTCCCTTCCTAATCCATCTCAATCCTTGCATGCTCAAGGTTGCCAGTTCAAGACCGCCTACGGCATGAAGGACATGGAACGTCACCTGAAGATCCACACAGGTGAGTCGCCTCCCCCGCAAGTCCTAGACCTGATGTCCCAACCACCAGTTGTCCACATAATGTCCCTATGACCTCTATCTCCATATTTTCTGGAAACAGGAATTTTTTTTTCCTTTTTGGGTCACACCTGGCCGATGCACAGGGGTTACTGCTGGCTCATGCACTCAGGAATTCCTCCTGGCAGTGCTCAGGAGACCGTATGGTATGCTGGGAATTGAACCCAGGTCAGCCGCGTACAAGGCAAACACCCTAGCTGCTGTGCTATTGCTCCAGCCCCAAGGAATTTCTTTTACAGAAGCATGATGTATTCATTCATAGCACCAGATCTAGATGAAGACCAAACAGATTGCATGATGTATGATTACTGTAACTTTTCAATAAATCCAAAATTAATTTCAAATAAAATCTTTGGAAAACTTGGGGCTGGAGAGATAGTACAGTGGGTCGGGCACTTGACTGGCACTTGGTTGACCCAGGGGCCACTGAACTCAGCTGGTTGTCATGGAAACACAAAGGCCAACCAAAGGGAAGTCAGGTGTGACCGCTGTCCATGATTTTGGTGGAGAAGGTTGAAAGCAAAGAAAAGCAGTGTGGCCATACAGGAGAGCAAGTTTCGCTGGTGGAAATTGGGAGCTTCTATGGTCAGTTGGAATGTTAGTCTACAAAGATTAAGAGTGAGTTGAGGGGCCGGAGCGATAGTGCAGTGGGGAGGGTGTTTGCCTTGCACGCGGTCAACTTGGGTTCGAGCCCCAGCATCCCATATGGTCCCCTGAGCACCTCCAGGAGTGATTCCTGAGTGCAGAGCCAGGAGTAACCCTTGAGCATCGCCAGGTGTGACCCAAAAAGAATAATAATAATAATAAAAAGAGTGAATTGAGCCTGTTGTCATTTTGAGGTGAGATCCTATAGCCTGTGTGTGTGTGTGTGTGTGTGTGTGTAAAATCAGGGGAGGAAGAAATCTTTGTATCTTTACATGTACTCTGGATGTGGTGACTCTTGGCTATTCTGAAGAAAGAATTGTAAATATACTTTGTGTGTGTGTGTGTGCTTTTTGGGTCATAACTGGCGATTCTCAGGGGTTACTCCTGGCTCATGCGCTCAGAAATTACTCCTAGCGGTGCTCGGGGGATCATATGGGATGCTGGGAATTGAACCCGGGTGGGCCGCGTGCAAGGCAAACGTCCTACCTGCTGTGCTATTGTCCCAGCCCAAATATGCATATTTTAAAAGGAGAAGTGATGCATGGAAAGATAAAACATGACTACTATAATTTGTATGCTTCCCAGCTTTTCTGCTTGGAGAAGGAGTTGCTTTTAGACAGTTTTCAGGGACCTGTGAGAGCCAGTGTTTTAAAAGTGGCCAGTAGCGCCCCCTACCGTGAGGTGGTGGGATAACAGGCCAGTCTTCTACCCACTGTCCCCCAGAGCTCAGATCCAGGTGACTCTGGCCCCTTCTGTGTCATGCCCAGGCGTCTTTTCCCTGGCCACTTTCAGAAGGATTCCGGGTCCCGGTCTCAGGTCAGTGTTCCAGCAGGACCGTTCACCAGCAAAACTGGCCAAAACCCACCATGTCCCCTCCACCCCCGTCTGCTCCTAGTGGAAAAGTCACAGATTGGCGACCACACGCGCTATTGAGCAGTGACAGTACTGAGAAGTGGTTGGTCCTGGCTGGGGACATCTCAGGCTGGACGGATGGAGGGCCATACCCCGGGTGCTCAGGGGCCCAGCTGCCAGGGATCAAACCCACGCCTCCTGCGTGCAGAGCACATGCCTGGCCCTTTGAGTCATCTCACAGGCCCCAAATAGTTTCCATTATAAAATCAGCATCAGGAGCTGGAGCAGTAGCACAGAGGGTAGGGCCTTGCATGCGGCCGACCAGAGTTCGATTCCCAGCATCCCATTGGGTCCCCTCAGCATCGCCAGGTGTCCTGTCACTGTCACTGTTCTCCCGTTGTTTATCGATTTGCTCGAGCAGGCCCAGTAACGTCTCCATTGGAGACTTTTGTTGTTACTGTGTTTTGCATATCGAATACATCACAGGGAGCTTGCCAGGCTCTGCCATGCGGGCGAGATACTCTCAGTAGGATCTCCGAGAGGGACGGAGGAATCGAACTCGGGTCGGCCACGTTGGCTGAGTGCAAGGCAAACGCCCTACCGCTGTGCTATCGCTCCAGCCCATCGCCGGGTGTGACCCAAAAAAAAGCAAAAGAAATAATAATAAATAAATAAATAAAATCAGCATCATCAAAACGCTTTCTGGGGCCTTCTTAAACCTCAGCTATTCAGGCTGGTGGCAGGCACGCTGCTTGGATGAATCAATTGACAGCAGTCAGTCTCACCTGGGCCAAGTATGTCTTTGATAAATAAAATTAGAAGTGAAAATCCTGGGCCAGGGAGCTGGGTCAGTGGGATCTCAGCCCTGAGCATGGTTGGGTGTGACCACAAACCTGACCCTGACCTCCCAAAACACACAGCGTCTGTGGAGCCGGAGAGATTGGACAGTGGGGAGGGCGCTTGCCATACACATGGGTTTGGTTCCTTGAGTGTCAGAAGGTGTGATTCCTAAATGCAGAGCCAGGAGTAACCCCTGAGCATCACTGGGTGTGATCCAAAAAGTAAAAAAAAAAAAAAAAAACTCCCAAATAAACAGAGGTACATTGGGCAGAGAGATAAGATGGTGTGTGTGTGTGTGTGGGGGGGGGGGGGTGGTGGTGGTGGTGGGCTGGAGCGATAGCACAGCGGTAGGGCGTTTGTCTTGCGCGTAGCCAGCCCGGCTGAGCCGGGTTCGATTCCTCCACCCTTCTCGAGAGCCTGGCAAGCTACCCGTGACGTATTCGAGATGCCAGACACAGTAACAACAAGTCTCACAATGGAGACGTTACTGGGCCCGCTCGAGCAAATGGATGAACAACGGGAGGACAGTGCAGTGCAGTGTGCGGTGGTAGTGGTAGTGATGGGCAACGGTATTACTTTCTTCATAGATCAGGAGGAAAGAGACTATTTTTTTTTCCTGGTTGCAATCGTGTTTTGTTTTGTTTCGGGGCCACTCCCGGCGATGCTCAGGGCTTAACTCCTGGCTCTGCACTCAGGAATGATTCCTATTGATGCTCAGGGAACCTTCTGTGATGCCGAGGATCGAACCTGGGTTGGCAAGTGCCTTCCCCGCGATACTAGGGCTCCGGGCACTCTGATTGAATCTTGCCTTTTAATCTGTACGCGTGCGTGTGTGTGTGTGTGTGTGTGTGTTCGAAGGAGACAAACCCCACAAGTGCGAAATCTGCGGCAAGTGCTTCAGCCGGAAGGACAAGCTGAAGACGCACATGCGCTGCCACACGGGCCTGAAGCCGTACAAGTGCAAGGAGTGCGCTTACGCCGCGGCCGACAGCAGCAGCCTCAACAAGCACCTCCGAATCCACTCGGACGAGCGGCCCTTCAAGTGCCAGCTGTGCCCCTACGCCAGCCGCAACTCCAGCCAGCTCACCGTGCACCTGCGCTCCCACACAGGTGAGCCCGCGCCCGCCTCCCAGGTAGCCCTCGGCCCCCGAGCCAGGGCACTGAGGCCTCACACAGGGGGGTGCTGGCTGCCAGCCTCGGCGTCAGCTACCCGGGAGGGGACACAGGCTGCAACCTCCGTAGATGAACGTGATGCGTTTATACAGACCCCTGTGCGACAGGAGCACTGATGGGTGACATTTAGTGACTCAAGTAGATGTTGGGAAAAATAGATTCAGGGACCAGAGCCATAGTACTAGCTGGAGGGTATTTGCTTGCACACTGCAGATCTGAGTTTGATTCCCCGGCATCCCATATGGTCCCCCCGAACATCGTCAGGAGTGATCTCTGAGCACAGAAACCCTGAGCACAGCCCGGCCCCCCAAACAATCAAACAAAATAGAAAGTATACTCAAAGAAACGGGCTTGAGCTTGTTAGAAAAGTGTGTGCCATAGGGCTGGAGCGATAGCACGGTGGGTAGGGCGTTTGCCTTGCACGCGGCCGACCCGGGTTCAATCCCCAGCATCCCATAGGGTCCCCTGAGCACTGCCAGGAGTGATTCCTGAGTGCAGAGCCAGGAGGAACCCCTGAGCAACATCGTGGGTGGCCCCAAAACCAACAGAAAAAAAAGAAAGGAATGTCTGTACTGCGTGTGACTGGGCAGGGTGATTGGTCGGCTTCCTCCTCTGATCACTTTTATCAGCACAGGCTGGTACTGTGGGCTTTTCCCTGAGCCACAGTATCGGTTCCGAGTTGCTGCCTGGGTTAGACCGGGTACAGCTCCCCAGGGCTTGCTCTGGCCATGGAACTTCTCCCGTCCCACTCCATCAGCTCCTCCTGAGATGCCAAAGTGCCTTTGAGAGATGCTCCGGGCTGCTCTCCACGCTGATGATTGGGGCACTGCCCTACTTTTTCCCTATAGGCTAGTGATGGCTTTGCGTTAAAACGGTGTGCGTTTCCTGTCTCCGTATGCACCAACCCAGATGGGAGACTTGGGAGGCTCTCCTCAACCCACAGGAGCTCACGTGGTCCCCACCTGCTTCTTCTGAAGACTTTCACGACCATCATGATCACGACCATCCTGTTGTCCGTCGATTGCCTCAAGCAGGCCCCAGTAACATCTCCTTCGTCCTAGCCCTGAGATTTTTTTTAAAAGTGCCATATTCAAGGCTCTTTCAGGGTTAAGAGAATGAGACCCATCATTGTTACTAGTATTTGGCATATTGGGTACATCACGGGGAGTTTGCCAGACTCTGCCATGTGCGCAGGTTACATTCGGTAGCCTGCCAGTTCATCCAAAGTAGGAATGAGATAATAAGGTGTCTCTTGCGGCTGCGCGCGCTTCCAGGAGCTGGGTTATAGTCTCTGGATCTTGGCCATTGATGGGATTACACGGCGCCAGGGGGCCAGTTGGTGGGTGTGACCCCTGCCTCCTGGAATTTGGAGGATCTGAGTGGAGGATGCTCATCCCCAATCCGAGCAGGCTTGGAGATCTCAGCCCTGGGACCCGCATGCCTTTGTTCCTCTGCTGGTACCTTCATGCGTGTGGAGTGTGGTCTCAGCATGGTGGTGGCCGGTTCTGGAGGTCTTCGGCTGAAGACTTTAGGGGAGTCATTTCTCTTTTCCTCTTTCTGAGATCCCTTCCCGCCATCTGATCTTTGACCCCTGCTTTCTGTCTTTCTCCAAAAAACTTTTTACAACGCCGGCTCTGAGTCTTCCGCTGATCTAGCCCATCTTTGGTTGTTGCATCCTCTGTATAAATTCTGTTTCAAAAGTAGACCCTCCTTTCATTTTGGTTCTTACATTCTTCGAGTGCCTTATCGTAACTGTGCTGCTTCTAAAACGTTTTCACGCCTCTGCCTGGGAAGGATTTCTTTGCTCAAGTCCAAAACTGTATTTGATACATTTCCTATCTTCTAATTTCCTGCCAGTGACGGTTTTGCTAAGCGTTTGCTGTGAAATCGGGTGCGTTGCTGTGTTTCTGGTCTCTGGTCTCTGCCTGTTCCCAGTCCCCAAGCCAAGTTCCACCCTGCTTCAGATAACGTCTCTGTTTCAATTTCTATTCAATTTCTATTGTCATAATAATAATGTAGCTTAGCGCAAGTGACATCAATACAGGCCAGAAATAGTACAGCCGGTGAGGTGCTTGCCTTGCTTGTGGTCGATCCAGGTTTGATCCCTGACACTATGTGGTCTCCTGAGCACAGAGTCAGGAGTACGTCCTGACCACCACCGACTGAACTATCAAAGCTAATTAGGTTGGGCCAGAGCCATAGTACAGCAGGGAGGGTGCTTGCCTTACACATGGCCAACCCGGGTTCTATCTCCAGCACCCCGTAGGATTTCCCAAGTTCCGCCAGGAGTGTTTCCTGAGCACAGAGCCAGAAGTGAGCCCTGAGCACTGCTGGGTATGGTCCCAAAACCAAAACCCAGAAGATGCCACACAACCTTGGCAGATCCAATAAACCTTTTCACCTGCCGGGGATGAGTGAAGCCGTCTGGCGGCTTTGTCCGAATGTCAGCATTTCCTCCCACTTACAGACGGTGCGGGTGCAGGCTGCTGGTGCTCTGGCTTCAGCTGGAATCATCCAGCTCAGCTCCCACCCATCTGTCCTCTTCCTCCTCCTCCTCTGGGGACCAGCGGGCCAGGCTGGGCTTGTCCTCCTCTGGAAACGGGTGAGCAAAGCTCGAGCAAACCCCGGCACGTGAGCTCCTGTCAGACCCATACTGGCATCATTTTCCCTTCCCGTCCCTTGAGCCCGTCCGATGACAGGACTGAGCCTGCTGTGAGGTTCCAGGCAGGTCATTTTGCCCCTGTCAGGAGAGCGGGCGTAATTGCCAACACAGCAGACACCGCAGCTCCGGGGAAGGTGGGAGTCGAGAGATTCAGGGACGATTCTGTCAGCTGCTACGGTGAGGAAAGACACTGGTGGGCAGAGGCCCAGCTGATTTCCTGCAGAACTCTCGGGCCGCTGACTGAAGCATTGACGGAAGCGTTTTCAAATCACTTGGACATAAGGAAGAACTCGCGCTTTGAAATCAGCCTAAACAAGGCAGATTTTCTCGCCCTCCAAACGCGAGCCATACATGCTTTCTTCTCCCAGGCCCACTTTGATCCATCTGTGGTACATGTAGGTGTTTTTAATGAACAGGAATTGGCTGCCGCCTTTCCCTGCTGTTTGACACAGTTTCGTGTCATCCGTGTGGCTTCGTGGAACCAGAACTCAGGACGGTTTGTTAGCGGACGTATGCTGGTCGCTTTCCTCAACACAGAGTTTTCTCTCTGTCAGGACACCGGAATGAGACAGTGGGTGGGAACCTACAGGCCATTAGCTTAGGAAACTTTCCTTTCCCTGAAGCTGCTCCTGGCTCACATGTCACCTTTGAGAACAACCTGCCTAGTTAAAGAAAAATGATGCTTAGGGACTGAGATCCTTTACTTTCATCTCAAAATGGGGGTTCGGTTCAGCAACTGTAAGATTTGACAATCTTAGTGCATGTATATGGGCAGGACAGATAACAGGGTTGCCTTCTTAGGACAGGACAAAAAGAATCAGGATGTAACTGGAAAACGTCCGAGAACATTCTGGAACAATTTTTTTTTTCTTTTTGGGTCACACCTGCAGTGCTCAGGGGTTACTCCTGGCTCTGCACTCAGGAATTTACTCCTGGTGGTGCTCAGGGGACCACACGGGATGCCGGGGATTGGACCCAAGTCAGCTGTGTACATGGTAAATGCTATCCCCACTGTCCATCACTCTGACCCTAAGATTTATTATTCCTTTTGCACGATTCCTTCAACCAGGGGTCCATAAATATAACTCTGGACGTCCGGGCCTGAGTGATAGTACAGTGGGGAGGGCATTTGATTTTCACACAGCCAACCCAGGTTCAGTCCCCAGCACCCCATATAGTCCCTTGAGCACTGCTAGGAGTATTCCCTGAGCTCAGAACTAGAAGTCAGCCCTGCGCACTGCTGAGTGTGGCCCAAACACACACACACACACACACACACACACACAGAGGAAAAAAATGACATCTTCCTTTCCATTAACCTGCACTGGGACCTGGCGTGAGTCTCAGTGATGGAAAGAGGCCACCAGTCTGCTGACAGGGCGCGGGGACTTGTCACCAGTTCTCTATCTTCCTACAACAACCACTTCAGGGAGGTCCAAACACCCCCACACGTCTCCGCTTAGAAAAAAACAGAGATTCAGGTCTGTTGCTAGAATGTTCTGTAATGCTTTCATAAAACGGGCTGCTGGAACACACCACTTTTTTTTTCTTCTCATATTTTATTAAATGTTTAAATGAACATTTTAATAACTTTCAACATAATGGATTTCTTTCGTATTCCTTATAGATTTTCAGTTTCTTTTGTGCGTTTAAACATGATTCTAAAGAAGTGTATGTGGCTTTTGCTAACCTGTCCAAAGGGGTAAAAGGTTTTGGTTTTTTGTTTTTTTTTGTTTTTTTTTTTTTTGAAGCTGGAGCGATAGCACAGCGGTAGGGCGTTCGCCTTACGAGCGGCCAACATGGCCGACCCGAGTTCGATTCCTCCGTCCCTCTCGGAGAGCCCGGCAAGCTACCGAGAGTATTCGATATGCCAGACACAGTAACAACCAAGTCTCCAATGGAGACGTTACTGGGCCCGCTCGAGCAAATCGACGATCAACGGGAGGGCCTTTACCTTTACCTTTACCTTTTTTTTGAAGCTAAGAACCAGAGAAATAGTACAGGACTTAAGGCACTTGCCTTGCATGCGGCCCACCCAGGTCCAATCCGCACAGAACCGTCTGTGGTCCTCCAAGTGATTCCCTGGGCTCAGAACCAGGAGTCAGCCCTGAATGCCCCTGGGGGTGGCCCAAAATATAAAAATGACTGAGAAGAACATTCTAGGCAAGGGTCCACTTGTTCTGTAACAGACCAGATAACATTTTAAGCTTTGGGGACCATAGAGTGTCACCATCGTCACCTCAACTCTGTCATTGTTTCCATCGGTATCTGTTGTTTTTCGACATTTAACAAAACATTCGATAATTATTTTTCTGCTAGAACACCAGGCACTGCCGTGAGTGCTCAGCAAATGCTGACACCTTGTAGTTTGGGGTCCCGTTACTCCTGGGAACTAATGCCCCTATCAGCTAGGAATAGAACGGGACCGTAAGTAATCACATTGAAGTATCTAGGCCTGATGAGAAGTCTGGAGTAGGTGGGTTCCAGGGTTATGCAGAATATCAATAAATGTGTGAGCCTCTACTGGGCTCAGAGCACTTTCCTCATAGTTCCGAAAGGGCTGCAGCCACCTCTGGCATCACACCTGCATCCATCAACATAAACAAATGGGAGTGGCTGTGCCCCAAGAAAACCTTCTTAAGAAAATGAGAAGGTGGGCCAGGTTCTTCCCGTGACCCCTTACCGGTTTCAGCCTGCATGGTCTTGACAGTAGTCACCCAAAGTATTGTGTAAATTTGGGGCTCTCTGTTTTCTAGATGCTTGTGAAAACTTCCCCGGGTCATTTTCAATCGTATTATCAAACCGCTTCTTGGTGATGTTTAAGACCTGTTGCTAGAAAGTCCCATTCGTATGCGCACGTGGCCTAAAAATCTATCGCACATCAGTCACACGTGCAGATAATTTCAGAGCACCTGACGATAAGGCTTTGGAGACAGCCTGAACTGGAATCCCAGCCCGGCCAGGTACCTTTGGGCAAATAAACTGGGCCTAAGTCCATCTGCTCACTCGCACGGTCGTGCTGAGACCCCAGGGCCAGGGAGAGAGCGCCAAGGGCTGGAGCACGGGGCGCGCGTGCCTGCGGGCGGCCCCAGCGCCATCCTCAGCACCACACAGTTCCCCAAGCCCTGCCAGAAGCAACCCAGCCGCTTTGCTGGGAGTAGCCCTCCGAGCTCTGGCAGGTCTGGCCCCCAAAGGAAGGAGAATTAGTGCCACTCCTGGCGATGTCGGGAGCCCGAGAGGGAACAGGAGCCTTCACACCGATGCCGCCGGTGCTTCGCGCGTGGATGGGGTTCCATTAGCACAAATCGCCTCCCTGGCGCCAACGTGCTAGACCCTATTGAAACAGGAAGCTCAGCCGCGTGTGTAAACTTGGACTTGACTTTCCTTGAGGACATTCCCTTGGACTCTCCTTGTCTGTCTGTCCTGGGCCAGCTCACTCACCCCGCTCACCTTGCAGCAAATGCGATTTTTTTTTTTAAATTTTAAATCAAGCAGCTGGATCTTAAAACTTCACGAGTAAAGAACACAGCTGGTGCGCGGTGGGATAAGTCCATTTTGCACAACAAACACGTCTTTGTTAACCAGAATCTGCTTGACCCGTAAGCCCAGCAACCCCATCATTAGGGGGAAAAAAAAAAAAAAGAATATCCTGATGAGTTGACTAGCCTGGAGCAAATGGACTCACTCAGGTGCCCCCCGAATCCGTGGCAACATCACCACCAATGGATTGTACAAACGTGCCCAGCCGGGAACCGTTAACTAGTGGGTGCGTGGACTCCGAGAACGGGTGCAAGGATTTTGGCCAAGGATATCTGATACCTTGTCGGAGCTCTCGTTTCACTTGGGAAGATTCAGTAGCCCAGTGCTGTCTCCAGCTTGATTTCTGGCTAGAGAACCGGGGTGGGGGGGGGGGGGGAGATTCGGGAAAAGAAGCCCTCAATCAGGGCTGGAGCGATAGCACAACTGGTAGGACGTTTGGCTTGCACGCGGCCAATCCGGGTTCAATTCCCAGCATCCCATAGGGTCCCCCGAGCACCGCCAGGAGTAATTCCTGAGTGCAGAGCCAAGAGGAACCCCTGTGCATCGCCGGATGTGACCCAAAAAGCAAAAAAAAATAAAATAAAAAAAGAAGCCCTCGGGGCTGGAGAGATAGCACAGCAAGTAGGGCGTTTGCCTTGCACGCGGCCGACCCGGGTTCGATTCCCAGCATCCCATAGGATCCCCCGAGCACCGCCAGGGATAATTCCTGAGTGCAGAGCCAGGAGTAACCCCTGTGCATCACCGGATGTGACCCAAAAAGCAAAAAAAAATAAAATAAAATAAGAAGCCCTTAATCCCCCACCCCCCTTTTTTTTTCTCTCTCTCTCTCTCTCCCTCCCCCAGGGGCTCCTAGGAGCCCCGTTCCGAGGTCTCCACCCACCCGCGGCGGTCTTAGCGATTTTTCTGGTGTGGCTGCGGGGGGCTGCCGTGGGGTTGTTGCCTGTTCTTACGGAAAACTCCCCTTGTGTTGACAGGCGACGCCCCCTTCCAGTGCTGGCTCTGTAGCGCCAAGTTCAAAATCAGCTCGGACCTGAAGCGCCACATGCGCGTGCACTCGGGGGAGAAGCCGTTCAAGTGCGAGTTCTGCAACGTGCGCTGCACCATGAAGGGCAACCTCAAGTCGCACGTGCGCATCAAGCACAGCGGCAATAACTTCAAGTGCCCGCACTGTGACTTCCTGGGGGACAGCAAGGCCACGCTGCGCAAGCACAGCCGCACGCACCAGTCGGAGCACCCGGAGAAGTGCTCCGAGTGCAGCTACTCGTGCGCCAGCAAGGCGGCCCTGCGCGTGCACCAGCGCATCCACGGGCCCGAGCGCCCGTTCAAGTGCGCCTACTGCAGCTTCGACACCAAGCAGCCCAGCAACCTGAGCAAGCACGTCAAGAAGTTCCACGGGGACGCGGCCAAGGCCGAGGCGGCCGCCGAGCGCAAGGACGCGGGCCGCCAGGGCGGCCGGCAGCTGGCCAAGCTGGACGCCAAGAAGACGTTCCACTGCGACCTGTGCGACGCGTCCTTCATGCGGGAGGACTCGCTCCGCAGCCACAAGCGGCAGCACAGCGAGTACCAGGAGGGCAAGAACCCCGAGGTCACCGTGCTGCAGTTCCAGATCGACCCCGGCAAGCCACCGGCCGCCGCCGCCGCCGCCGCCGCTGCGCCCCTCGCCGTGGGCCACCTGCAGGTGCCCCTGCAGCCCGGCCAGGGACCCGCGTTCAGCGAGGGGAGGGTCAAGATCATCGTGGGCCACCAGGTCCCGCCGGCCGGCGGCCTCGTGCAGGCGGCGACGGCGGCGGCGGCGGCGGCCACCACGGTGAACATCGTGCCCCCCGCGTTGGTGACCCCCCGGCGCCGACGAGCTCCCCGGGAACGCGCGGCTGCAGATCCTGCGCCAGGTGAGCCTGATCGCGCCACCTCCTCCACCGCCGCCCCCCGCCGCCGCCGCCGCCACCGCCACCGTCCTCCGCGGGGTGCCCGGGCGAGCCTGGCACCCTGGCACCGCCCGCCGCAGTGCTCCTGAGCGCGCACGAGCCGCCGGACGCGGGCGCACTGCACCCCGCGCTCCTGCCCGCCGCGCCCGCCGCGCCCCCCGGGCAGCGCCGCCAACCAGACTTTCATCACCAGCTCGGGCATCACCTGCACGGACTTCGAGGGCCTCAACGCGCTGATCCAGGAGGAGGCGGCCGAAGTGACGGTAGTGAGCGACGGGGTCCAGAACATCACCGTGGCCAGCACGGCGCCCCCAATCTTCTCCTCCTCCTCCTCCTCCTCCTCTTCTTCCTCCGCCTCTTCCTCCCAGCAGGAGCTACCCAAGCAGACTTACTCCATCATTCAGGGTGCGACCCACCCAGCGCTGCTCTGCCCTGCGGATTCCATACCTGACTAGCTCTGCCATGGGCCAGGAGGTGGGGGGCGTACCTCTGCCCCCCCCCACACACACACATGAAAGCCCTAATTGGACACTTCTATGGGGTTTTTGCTAAAGGTAGTTTGTTTTTTTTTTCAGGCTTGTTTTGTGGGAAGCCGTCCCTCTCCATCCCCATAATAAATTGTAATTTTATACTCCTCAGATCCTTTTTTTAACACTGTAATGATTTTGAGAATACCTCCGACCTCTCTCCCTCCCCCCCACCCCCGTAATGTTGTAGAATCTTCTTGGGCATCAAGATGATGCTGATGGTGGGTTGGAATTACATGCATTAAGACGTGAAGGCGTTTGTTTGTTTCCAACGCGATTTCCCAACTCTAATAAAGGGTTTTTCCCGACTCATTAAATGTGTGTAGGAGATGGTACTTTCCAGCCCCTCTGAATTCCCCTTTCTGGAATAGGCCCCCGGAGGGGGCGTTCACATTCTAGAACGTGGGTACAGATTTGCAGGCATGGAGGAGCGTTTTCTACAGAATGATTTCCCCGGGTAATTCATTCATTCCATCACAAATGGTTAAAGCTGATGAGCAGACAAGGAATGGTTTTCTAATAAATTGATCCATGATTTAAAATATACTGAATGTTAATGATTCTTGAGGCTCATGGTCTTATGGGGGGATTAGCATGTAATTAAAGAGCATTTGTAATGAATCTTAGACAAACATCTTACCTCCTTCATAGTCCAATTAAATATGTGTGATTCCCCCAAATACTCCAACTATCTTTTTTTTTTTTTTGCTTTTCGGGTCACACCTGGCGATGCACAAGGGTTCCTCCTGGTTCTGCACTCAGGAGTTACTCCTGGCGGTGCTCAGGGGACCATATGGGATGCTGGGAATCGAACTCGGGTCGGCCGCGTGCAAGGCAAACGCCCTCCCCGCTGTGCTATCTCTCCAGCCCCCTTTTTTAAAATCTTTATTAGTGAAACACCATGAGGTACAGTTGTAGACTTAAAATTTTTTGTGCTTGGGTTTCAACTGTACAGTGATCAAACACCCATCCCTCCACCAGTGCCCATTTTCCACCACCACGGGTCCCAGTATCCCTCCCACCCCGCCTCTGTGCAGGGCATTCCCTTTTGTTCTCTCTCTCCTTTTGGGTGTTGTGGTTTGCAAAAGAGGGGTCCATTATCATTTTCATCCTGAAACTCATGGAACCTAATATTTCTCTTCAGAGGCAAAAAGGATGCAAGTGTTTTTAATCTTCCAGGGTTTTCTAAATACCTTATTTTATATATTAACATCTGCGCAGTCCTAGTTGGGGACAGCGCAGGGGGACAGCGGGATTGAAAAAGCTCCTTATTCCAAGGAGAGGCTCCTTGGAAAAGAGAAGTCAAATTTGTGTCGCTTTGAACTGCAATACTATGTGGACGGCAGGTGGCGCCAGAGAGCGCGCTAGAATGACCCTCGCTTCTACCCGTAGAGCTGGAGCAGGAGTTTGAATGCCTAGAAATGCTCTAAGTTTACTACCGGCATCAAGGACTGGACAGGTGCAAAGGTGAGAGGAGCAGATTGATGAGAGCAGGACAAAGCTTAGCTCCTCCTGTAATCCTGTTCACCCCAGATGCTCCATCAGAACTGGCATGCATACTCTCATCTTGCATGAAAGATACTCTAGCATCTCTTGGCCAGACTTAGCAAATGTTGGGGCTGGAGCAGTAGTACTGTGGGTTGGGTGTTTACTTTGCACGCGGCCGACCCGGATTCGATCTCTGGTATCCCATTGATGGTCAATGCCAGGAGTGATTCCTGAGTGCATAGCCAGGAGTAGCTCCTGAACGTCACAGGCTATGAGACAACCCCCCCAAAAAAAACCAAATATTTGCCTGTGGGCGGTGCATTGTTGGTGTCCCTTTAATTTAGCAAGTTTGAATTAGCCGGCTTAAATTGGCAAGTTTGAATTTGAATCTTCAAATCCTTGAAGATTTGAACACAATTCTCATCATTCACCTTTTTTTTTTCATTGCCAGAATGTGTCTTATTTTCATGTTAGCAATAATAATGAATTGATAAGAATGGTATGGCAAGAAAGAGAAAAGGCTGGCATGTGCAAGGATCATTTTAATAACTTGTTGAGTTTATATAAATGTCACATAGGATATATGGTGATTATTATAAAATTAAGGTAATGCTTTGAGACTTTTTTTTTAAATGTTCCCAGTGTTGATTGAATCTTAGCTGGGAAACTTCCAGTGTTATGATGTTCACAAAAGCCCTTTTTCCCCAAAGTGTCTCTGGTTTTGGTTTTTGGTTTGTTTGTTTTTTTTTAACTTTTAAAGGATTATCTCGGAGCCAGAGCAATAATACAGTGGGTAGGGTGTTTGCCTTGCATGTGACTGATCAGATTCAATCCCCGGCATTTCATATGGTTCCCCAAGCTCTGCCAAGAGTGATTCCTGAGTGCAGAGTCAGAAGTAACCCCTGAACCTCACTGGTATGACCCAAAAGGGAAAAAAAGAGGATTATCCCTCAATTATTATAAATGAAATGTGCATTTAAGGTAGAAAATAAGGAAAATGCATCAAATTAAGAAAAACAATGACTAAAAATCTTACTATCCAGAGGCAAATATTGTGAATATTTGAGGGGGGCTTTGTTTGTTTTGGTTTTGGGGTTTGGGGACACCCTTGCTGGTGCTAGGGGCTATTTCTGACTCTGTGATCAGGAGTGACCCTGGGTGGTACTTGGGACACCATATGTGGTGCTGGAGATTAAAACTAGTGTGGGGGTGGGCTGGAGCAAGAGCACAGCGGGTAGGGCATTTGCCTTGCCTGCGGCCAACCCAGGTTCGATTCCCAGCATCCCATATGGTCCCCTGAGCACTGCCAGGAGTAATTCCTGAGCGCAGAGCCAGGAGTAACCCCTGTGCATTGCCGGGTGTGACTCAAAAAGCAAAAAAAAAAAAAACCTAGTGCGGGGGGTTGTAGTGATAGTACAGCAGGTAGGCGCTGGCTTTGCATGCAGCAGACCCAGATTTGATTCCCTCGGCATCCTATATGGTCCTCCGAGCCCACCAGGCGTGATTCCTGAGTGCAGAGCCAGAAACATCACCAGATGTGGCCCAAAAACCAATAATAAAATCATAAAAGCAAAACAAATAGTCAATCCAGGGTCAGTCTCACTCAAGGCAAGAGTCTTATCTCCCTTACTCTCCCTCCAGCACAAAGTGTGATTATTTTGATGAACTTGCTTCTCGTCTTTTTTCTCGTGTGCTTCTGTATATAAGTATTTTGTCCCAGTGAGAGTTGGAATTGAGTCATGAAGACGATTTCATTGTTACTCTATTTCTTGGTTTTTTTTTTTTTTTTGCTTTTTGGGTCAACCCACCCAGCAATACTCAGGGGTTCCTCCTGACTCTGCACTCAGGAATCACATCTGGCGGTGCTCAGGGGACCCTATGGGATGCTGGGAATTGAACCCGGGATGGCCGTGTGCAAGGCAAACGCCCTCCCCGCTGTGCTATGGCTCCAGCCCCTACTCTATTTCTTTATCTTTCTGTCTCCGCCATCCTGCTGCCTTTTCTACATACAGAGACACACAGGTATCTGGATTTTTTGAAAACAAATTCCTAGAGCAATAGTGACTTGCTGAAAATGGAATTTTCTAGAGATTGTTCCAGAACCCCCAAGCCCAGACTCCTTGGCTCCAGTGCGCCCTCCCCTACCCCACTGCTCACAGGGTTACCTTTCCTCTCTTCCTACCAACAGACAAATTTGCAAAAGACCATCGAGGAAAACTGCTTCTGAAGCCTTAGTGCCACCTAGAACGTGTTTCCCAGCCGCTTGCTCTACCGTTCGCTTTATCAGCTAGACTCTGCAGCTGTTTCTAGCAGAAGCATCTCTGAAACTCTGAACTCTGGAAGGCAGTAGGGGATTTCTCCCCTGCTGGCTTGAATCCACTCCCAGGGCACTGCCAGGAGTGATACCTGAGAGCAAGCTAGGAGGAAGCCCAGAGCATCAACGGGTACGGCTATGGCCTCCGGCAAAGAGATGGTCCTGAGGTCTGGGGTGTGGGCACCCACCCCCATCACCCTACCCAGGGGCTCAGCGCTCTGAAGCTGAGATGTGATGCAGGAACCAACCCTCTGCTCCAGGGCAGGGGGACCCTTCTCCCAGCTCTGTTGTCCACCTCTCTGCACACATTTTTTTTCTTTTTGGGTCACACCTGGCGATGCACAGCGATTACTCCTAGCTCTGCACTCAGGAGTTACTCCTGGCGGTGCTCAGGGGACCCTATGGGATGCTGGGAATCGAACTCAGGTCGGCCGCGTGCAAGGCAAACTCCCTACCCGCTGTGCTATCTCTCCAGCCCCCTCTGCACACATTTTTTTAATTTTTTTTTCCTTTTGGGTCACACCCAGTGATGCTCAGGGGTTACTCCTGGCTCTGCACTCAGAAATTATTCCTGGCAGTGCTCGAGGGACCATATGGGACCATATGGACCATATGGACCATTGAACCCGAGTCGGCTGCGTGCAAGGCAAACTCCCTACCCGCTGTGCTATCGCTCTGGCCCTCTCTGCACAGATTTTCCGAGCATCGTTTGTCTTTTGTGCTGCTGTGAGCTTTCAGCGGACACACCCCCATGTTCTCCTTCAGCCGGTTGGGAGCTTGGGGTATCCGCCTGTTCCTGCGTTTTCTACCTGCTGTACTTTTGCTTTCAGCCTCTCTGGGGCTGCCAGAATGAAGAATCCTTCTTCGGTTCCACTTGAGTCATTTGTAGCTTCTAGTTTTACTTTTTTATTTATTTATTTATTTATTTTGCTTTCTGTTTTGTTTGGGGGCCATGCCTGG